TTGTATAGCACCTCTTCCTTATGTTTCCGCGAGTGCTCTCGCATAGCACCTGTTTCCTCTTTGTCGTGCTCGGTGTCGTGCCTGCCGTATGCGGTGCTGTACTTGCTGTCGCAATTGGCGTGGTACTCGGCGTTCGTCATGGAGGCCACCATGAGGGGTATGTCCCTCCATTTGGCGTTCAGGCCAAGCCGCATACTTTCGCCAGTCACGCGCGCGGCAGCTCGTAGTGGCCTGGGCCTCGAAGGCCCGTCGCGTTGCTCTCGTAGCAGGTCCTCCTCGTGCTCCTCATGGCTGTTGGCGCCCGTCGTGCCGCCGTCGCGCGGAGGCGGCCAGCAGGCTAAGGCCGGTCCCGCTGCCCCGGGGCGCCGAGTGCAGGGGATGGATCCCGCATCTGGCCTTGAGCCGAAATGGCTATATACGCACTCCTCCCTCTCCTCCCCCTCCTCCTCCTCAACCTCCTCCTCCTCCGCCTCCTGCTCCTCCTCCTCCTCCTCCTCCTCATCCTCCTCCCTCCTCCTCCTCCTCCTCCTCCTTCTGCTCCTCCTCCTCCTCCACCTCCTCCTCGCATCATCATACTTTTCACCATCACCATCACCATCACCATCAGCATCAGCATCAACATCATCATCATCATCATCATCATCATCATCATCATCATCATCATCATCATCATCATCATCATCATCACCATCACCATCACCATCACCATCACCATCATCATCACCATCATCATCATCATCATCATCATCATCATCATCATCATGAGCATCATCATCGTCACCATCACCATCATCACTATCACCATCACCATCACCATCACCATCATCATCATCACCATCACCACCGTCATCAGCATCAGCACCATCAACATCATCAGCACCATCAGCATCATCATCACTATCATCATCAGCATCGTTAACATAATCACCATCAGCAGCACCACCATCACCATCACCATTACCGTCAGCATCAGCATCATAATATGCGTCGTCATTGCCGTCATCATCGTCATCATCAACAGCACCAGAATTAGCACCATTAGCGTCATCGTCCTCACCATCACCACTGTATCACTATGACCAACACAGCCACCATGACCATCATCGCCATCATCATCTCTGTCAAAGCCACCACCAGCACGATCATCATCAACATCAACATCAACATCAACATCAACATCAGCATCATCATCATCATCATCATCATCATCATCATCATCATCATCATCATCATCATGAGCATCGCCATCGTCATCGTCATCGTCATCGTCATCATCACCACCACCATCATCATCACAAGCATCAACGTCATCACCAACACCATCAACGTCTTCATCGCCGTCGCCATCGTCATCATCAGATTCATCATCAGCCACACTAGCATCATCATCACCAGCATCACCAACATGGTCATTACCAGCACCATCAACCGGATAATCATATAATCATCACTACCAGCAACATCATCGCCATGACCAGCACCGGCACCAGCACCATCATCAGCATCGGCATTGTCACTAGCATCATCGTCATCATCACCGTCAGCATCGGCATTATCATCCCCACCAGCAACTTCATCATCAGCATCATCAGCAGCATCATCAGCATCAAAACAATCATCATCATGATCGTCATCATCACCATCATCACCACCATCACCACTATCCTCATCCTCATCATTAGCATCATCACCATCATCAGCACCATCAGCATCATCATCAGCATCACCATCATCATCATCAGCATCATCATCATCATCATCATCATCATCATCCTCGTCCTCATCCTCAACCTCATGATTATCAGCATCATCTATATCATCACCACCACCATCACCATCACCATGATCATCCTCATCCTCATCACCATCATCATCGTATCGTCCTCATCCTCATCATCATCCTATTCACCATCAACATCATCAACATCAGCATCTTCATCGTCAGAATCGTCGTCGTCATCATCACAATCGCCATCCCCCTCCCCCTCCCCCTCCCCCTCCCTCTGCCCCCCTCCCCCTTCTCTTCCTCTTCTGGGCTCAGGCTCACCCCATGGAGCCGCCTGAGGCACGAGGCTGTGTTCCCCGGGCGACCGCGGCTGGCACGTGCCGAGGACGAGGGGGAGGGAGTGGCGAGGAGGCCGGGGAAGGAGGGGAGGGAGGGGAGGAGGGGAAGGGGAAGGGGAAGTGGAGGGCGAAGGGGGGGAGGAGAGGATGGGGCGAGGAGGCTGGCGAAGCGGGAGAGGAGCGAGGGAAGAGGAAGAAGGCCTGGATGCTGCCGGCCGCTGAGGGCGGTGAGTGGGCGCTGCGGGGACAGCAGCCGAAGGGCTTCTGGGAGGAAAGCCCCGCTCGGCATGACCTCATCCTGCCTCCGCGCCCACTCCTGGGGAACCCAGCGAAGATACCGATACCGCTACTGCCCGGACCTCTCCCCGGGGGCGTTCTGGCCAGGATTTCGAGGCGAACCCAGCGGTGGCGACGAGGGCCTTGGCCCAAGAGACCGAAAAAGGGGAAAAATGGCGAAGGCTAGCGGAAAAGATACCTTTGCCTCCGCGCCCAGTCCCCCTCGGAGGCAGCTCATGTGGGAGGGGGGATCCGACTTCTCCGGCTGCCTCCTGGAGCCCGCAGCTGAGGCAGGTGGAGATGGAGCCGCCCAGACACCAGAGAGGTCCCACTCATCCTCGCCCTCCTCCTCCTCCTCCTCCTCCTCCTCCCCCTCCTCCTCCTCCTCTTCCCTCTCCCCCTCCTCCGTCCCAGGGCTGGGACCGAGAATCGAGGGTCGAGCATCGGGGATCGAGGAGGAGGAGGAGGAGGAAGAGGAGGAAGAGGATCGAGGATCGAGGCAAGGAAGGAGCTCGAAAGGGAGCCGCCACGGGGTCATCCGCCCGCCAGGGCAAGGCATACCTCAGCCTGCTTGCGGGGTGCGCGGCGGTCGGCTGGAGCCGCTCCGAGCCCGAACTCGCTGCCGGCCGCAACGGCCACACTCTCCCCGGGCCCTGGACGCCTGGGCAGACTGAGCAGTCGGAAGTGGCGGCAGAGGCCGCAAGGAAAGAGACTCTGGGGACCACCTTCCGCTCAGCCACTCCTCCTCCTCCTCCTCCTCCTCCTCCTCCTCCTCCTCCTCCTCCTCCTCCTCCTCCGCCTCCGCCTCCGCCTCCGCCTCCGCCCCCGCCTCCGCCTCCGCCTCCTCCTCCTCCTCCTCCGCCTCCTCCGCCCCCTCCTCCTCCACCACCTCCTCCTCCTCCTCCTCGCTCTCCGCCGCGCGGCCCTGCGGCAGGCTGGCTCGAGCCAGTGAAAAACGAGGGCATCCCCCCGACTCCCGGAGAAGCCCCCCTGCTAGTAGGATCCGCTCCTAGCCGAGAATACCTCCTGTGGTCACTGCCCCAGGCACCCTCGACCTACGAAAGGCCATTGGCGTGGAGAAACCTTCGCTCCACATCAAGCCAAATCGTCGACGCACTGTCGATGCGGAGCGATCCTTCGACGCCGTCCGGAAGGCCCTGACTTTCTCTGCAGTGCTTTGGAGGTCTGGCCTCGACCCCCCCTCTCGGGGGCGGCCAAGAGGGGGGCGTCCAAGAGGGGGGGGGAGGGCGCAAATCATGGCCAGCGGTACGTGCGCGGCCCCGGGGGGGGGCGGGGACGTGATGAAATACGAAGAGGCGCCATGAAATCTGAGGATCTGAGGAGATATCCTGGCCCACGCCATGATGTTCCCCCCCCTTGTCATCACCCCCCTCTTGGCCGCCCCCGACCCAGGCACCCTCGACCTACGAAAGGGCGGGGCAGCGCGGGTAGCCGAAGCGGCAGAGAAGGGCTGCGGGATAAACGATCCACTCGGACCCCCCGCTACTCGGACCCCCTGCAGTTCGCAATCCGAAACTGAGGCTGACGCTGCAACGGCAGCATCATCTTGAGAGACCTACGACGTTCCGACCGACAAACTAAAGTACAGGAAAGACACCCAATGACATCCCGCGTGTGTACAGAAACACATACGCGGAGAGAGAGGGCGGGCTACTCCTCCCCGGCCTCGGGGAAGAGAGGAGAGGTGTATTCATAGTGAGTACAACACCCCCCTGACGTAGCTAATCCCTACCCTAACCTGAGCCAGGCCCTGTCGACACCGCGCCAAAGCTGACCTGACCCATTACAGTTAGCATGGCCAGCGGCTCGGCGACACCAGTGTGTCGCGCGCGCCGTCGTGGAGGAGCGGAGCGGAGCGGAGCGGAGGCGCCGGTTCCGGGCACCAGGGGTGCCCGTGCCCTTTGGGCAAGGCGCAAGAGGCCGTAGCCTCAGACCGTGTGGGTGCTGAAACTCTGGATGACATAGTTCACGAAAGAGAGGAGTGGGATAGTGCAGACGGATGGGGGGGAGGAGTGGAGGAGTGGGATAGAGAGGAAGGAAGAGTGCAGACGGAGAGGGGGGGGGGACGGGGGAGGAGGGGGCGCGGGGAGGGGCGAGGAGATGGGAGAAGGGAGGCGAGGGGAGACGGACGCCTCGCGCCTGTGCGCGCCTGCGGCTTGCCTGACAAGAAGGGGAAGGAGAACGAGAGCAGGATAGGAGAAGAAGGGGGGGGGGAGGGGAGTGGGGACCTCCTCCTCCTCCTCCTCCTCCTCCTCCTCCCTCTCCTCCTCCTCTCCTCCTCCTCCCCTCCTCCTCCTCCTCCTCCTCCTCCTCCTCCTCCTCCTCCTCCTCCTCCTCCCCCTCCCCCTCCCCCTCCCCCTCCTCCTCGGAAGAGGGGGCGCAGGGTGAGGGCAACGAGCCGGGCAGGGAGCCACCGCGAAGAGCGATCCCGGGCGGCCTCTGGCGGGGACATGGGGGCCGAGGAGGACCGGGAGGAGGGAGGGCGATGCCGAGGACGACGACGACGACGACGGCGGCGGCGACGATGAGGCGGACGACGACGACGACGACGACGACGACGAAGACGCAACGACGACGATGACGACGACGACGACGACGACGACGACGACGACGGCGACGAACCGAGCAGCTGTCGCTGCCTATACTCGAACTTGTCATCCATGTACTTCTCAGAGTACTCGATCTCGTCTGGGTAATGCACCATCACCCCCTGTTCTGAAACGGAAGAAGAGAGTGAATCAACAGATCGCCATACAGTCGCGCGTTTGCTGTTACACCTTTCTCTGCTCCTCCTCCTCCTCCTCCTCCTCCTCCTCAAACCCGTCACTCATCGCTCCTTCGCCTCACCCACGTACTCAACATCCAACTGTTCCGTCCCGTGCCTCCATCACAACCTCCCATTTCCCTCATCACTCCTCCGCGTTCCATAATCCGTTCTCCAGCCTCCACCCTGCCTTATCCATTATATTGCCTCTGATCTCTCCTGATCTATCTCTCATTAATCCCTCATCCTCGCTCTTTAACTTCCAAATGATCATGCCCACACCCGCCAACCTCATCATCCCCCTCCTCCACTTATCCGCTGGTCTACTCATCCGCTGGTTTCTCACCTTCCAAATTCGCCCTGCTCGTAATCCGCAATCCTCCTACACCTCATGATCCTTCTGCATCTCGTCATCGTCCGTGCCCTCCTCCCAATCCCCCCCTCCATCGCGTCGCTGAATACATACAAGATCCTCCTTGACATGCCAATCATACCCTCAATAATCGTCGTTCTTGACATCGTTCCTCGTCCTCCGGGTCCTCAACATAATACTCCTTGCGCATACGCTTCTCAGATGCGGCGCGTACCTATAAAGATGTTCCGATTCTTGCATGCATGGAAAAATAGCAACCTGACGGCTACTACGACTGAGACAGTCGGCTAGCTATTGGCAGAGCGGTGTCACACAGGTGATACAACACCACGAGACATACTGCTGTTCTTCTTCACGGCTACCACTGTCACATTCCATATGATTCAGTGCCGCCACTACAATTACTGCCAACGCTGTGGGTAATATTACCATCGCGAAGGCAATCAGTGCCCCCGTATCACCACCAGCGCAACCTACTGGCACGACGGTCGACGGTCACAACCATCACTACCCAGAGTGCCATAGCTACCACGAAATTATCCCAGCGAGAGACCCAACAATCTGCTGTTGTGAGTACCGTCGTTGCGGGTATCGCCTGTGGGGGATCTCCTCATGGGGCCATGAAGCATGCGAAGGGTGTGCCGATGTGCGGCGGGGCCGCCATGTGGGCGCTGCCACTAGTGCTTTAGGCGGAACGCACTACGGGGCCGCAAAGAATGTGAGGGGTGCGCCGCAATGGGGTGGAGCTCCCTTTGGGGCAACGAAGCGCTGTACTGGGCGGGGGAAACGCAAGCGAGTACAGCCACGGGGGCCTCCAGTGGAGCTCCCCATGGGGCCACGAAGCGCTGTGCTGGGCGGGGGGAAAGCATGCGAACAACGCCACTGGGGCCTTCGGTGGAGCCCCCCATGGGGCCGTGAAACGCTGCACTGGGTTGGGAAAAAGTATGTGAACACTGCCACTGGAGCCTTCGGTGGAGCTCCCTTTGGGGCCACGGAGCGCTGTGCTGGGTGGGGGTGACGCATGCGAGTGCAGCCACAGGGGCCTTCAGTTGAGCTCCCGATGGGGCCACGAAACGCTGTACTGGGTGGGGGTGGCGCATGCGGGCGGTGTCACTGGGGCCTTCGGTGGAGCTCCCTATGGGGCCACGAAGCGCGTGTTGGCTGGGGGGAGAGCATGCGAACAACGCCACTGGGGCTTGCGGTGGAGCTCCCTGTGGGGCACCGAAGTGCTGTACTGAGGTGGGCGTGGCGCATGCGCGCGGTGCCTTTGGGGCCTTCGGTAGCGCCCTATGGGGCCACGGAGCGCTGTCCTGGTTGGGGGTGACACATGCGGGCGGCGACACTGGGGCCTTCGGTGGAGCTCCCCATCGGGCACCCCCACTGGGGCCACGGGAGTTGTTCTGGGTGGGGCTGGCCGTTGATGCTGATGCTGATTATGATAGATGATGGAGGAGGAAGGGGAGGGGGGAAGAGGTGACGGACGCGTGGCGCTCTCCCTTCAAAACGAGTACCCAACACCACAGGATTGTTGGGAACGCAACCACAGATATGAGAACTACATATACGAACACACTGCCCACTGTGATCCATTCAACCACGAACTACAATCCCATTTCATATGCAGCAACTACTGAAACCACGACCACCACAAATACTACCACTACCACCACCACCACCACTAGGAGAGCATAATGGCGCTCATGTCCAGCACGCACGGGGGCGAACATGGCACAAATCCAACAAGGCTTCCCATGAACCTCAAATTCACAATCCTCCGACAATGCGAACCCAACCCAACAAGCACAAACCACAGGGGTCATCCAAAGGAATGTAAGTGAGACGCTCGCCAAAGACTCCCTTTGTGCGAGACCTGATGCCATCACGGAGGCCGAAACCATGAAGACACACTCGGAATAATCGAACCAAACAATATCCCTCATCTTTCCCTATCTTCCTCGTTCTCCCCTTACATATCCTGCTCGACTTCACCCTACCGTCATCAACAACCATCTCATCCTCTTCAGTCCTCCCCTTCCCCCTCCTCACCATCCTCCACGTCGTCCTCCTCCTTTCAGCCTCTTCCTTCTCATCATCCTTGTCCTCCTCCTCCTCCCCCTCATCATCATCCACGTGGCTGGAGTGGAAATTCGCTCTCGCATCAACGCCGCGAAATCCTTGTTGTAAAATTGGCGGCGCCCTTTGAGCACAGAAATCGGGCATGGGGCCAAGCGCGACAAAACGAAACGCTGCTCCGGCCCCAGAAACCCGCGGATACGCGCTCCCGCTCGGGCGCGTCGCATGACCTGCCATCGCCGCATACGCAGCTGCACACCAGCTCGCCCACGAAGCTGAATTGCGCGCGTCGCCCAAACTTAGAAACACATTCGGCGATCGACATGTTCTCCATGCCCCCGCTCGCGCCCCGACCCAACGAGGACCCAGAGCGGAGATACGGATCAATTTCTGGCCTGCGTGCCAGGCTTTTCTTGTTTCAATACCCTGACCCCCCGCGCCCAAGGTCGGGGGCAGCAACCAATGGTGCCGACCGTGCGTCGCTCGTCGAACAACGTCCCTCACAGATGTTCGCACACATCTTCTGCGGCAGCTCATGGAAGCCTACGATGCCATCTTGTTGGCTCTTGCGACCTCCTCCTCCGCCTCCTCCTCCATCCCTCTTCCTTTTAAATAACTTCTCCCTGTCGCACCCCGAAGCTAGTCTTTAGGGCGGGCCGGGCGTTTCGCCTGAGACTTCCTCACGACTCTGAAGCATAAGAACCGTTTCACAGATGGAGGGCGGGTCTTTTCAACATGTGGCTCTCGCCTTAGTGCGGCGCACGTTCGTTTAAATCATCTGCAAGAGCTTCACGGATTGAGGGCGGATCGTTTTCAAAAATGTGGCTCTCGCCCTAGCGCGGCGCACATTCGTATGAAACAATTGCAAGAATTGCACGGATTGAGGGCGGGTCGTTTTCCAAAAGTGGCTTTCGCCTTAGCGCCGCGTACAGTCGTTGCAACAAATTGCAAGAGCTTCTCGGATTGAGGGCGAGCGGTTTTCAAAAAGTGGCTCTCGCCTTGGCGCCGACAACATTCGTCGCACAACTGTGCAAGAGCTTCACGGATTGAGGGCGGGTCCTTTCCAACATGTGGATCTCGCCTTAGCTCCGCGCACATTCTCCTTACGCATTGGTAAGACCTCCTCCTCCTCCTCCCCCTCCTCCTCCTCCCCTTCCCTCTCCTACTCCCGCCGCCCACTACCTCCTCCTCCTCCTGCTCCTGCTGCTCCTCCTCCTCCTCCTCCTCCTCCTCCTCCTCCTCCTCCTCCTCCTCCCTCCTCCTCCTCCTCCTCCTCCCTCCTCCTCCTCCTCCTCCTCCTCCTCCCCTTCCTACTCCTCCTCCTCCTCCTCCTACTCCTCCTCCACCTCCTCCTTCTTCCCCCCCCTCCTCCTCCTCCTCCTCCTCCTCCTCCTCCTCCTCCCCTCCTCCTCCTCCTCCTCCTCCTCCTCCTCCCCTCCTCCTCCTCCTCCCCCCTCCTTCCTCCTCCTCCTCCTCCTCCTCCTCCTCCTCCTCCTCCTCCTCCTCCTCCTCCTCCTCCTCCTCCTCCTCCTCCTCCTCCTCCTCCTCCTCATTTTCCTCCTCCTCCTCCTCCTCCTCCTCCTCCTCCTCCTCCTCCCCCCCCCCCTTCCTTCCTCCTCCCTTCCCTCCTCCTCCTCCTCTTCTTCCTCGTTTTCCTCTGTTTCCTCTTTGTCCTCCGTTTCCTTTTCCGCCCTCTGCCCTCCAACGCCACCCCCATCCCCCATGCCAAGGAGCGGGCGCCCCTCCACCGCGCCCGGGGCCTCCGCTGCAGTGGCAGCCCGCGCCCGCGCGAGCGCGAAAGCCTGCGCCGAGTCGGGCTTAAGCCACAGTCCGCTGCGGCGGCGGACGGGGAGGAGGGGAAGGAGGAGGAGGACGACGAGGAGGAGGAGGAGAGGGAGGAGGAGGAGGAGGAGGAGGAGGAGGAAGGGGAGGGGGAGGGGGAGGAGGAGGAGGAGGAGGAGGAGGGGAGGAGGAGGAGGAGGAGGAGGAGGAGGAGGAGGAGGAGGAGGAGGAGGAGGAGGGAGGAGGAGGAGGAGGAGGGGGGAGGACGGGGGGAGGACGGGGGGGAGGAGGAGGGTGAGTCGGAGTCGGGATCGGAGGAGGAGGAGGAGGAGGAGGAGGAGGAGGAGGAGGAGGAACCGGAGGAGGAGGAGAAGGCGGCGGCAGCGGCGACGGCGAAGCGGTGTCGGGCCGAAGGCCGAACCAACTCAAATTTAAATGGAAGTGAAGACTGTGCGGCCTACCGTGCGCTACGCGAATCAGCTCTGGACATGGTCCCACGGCGGGGGGCCCGAGTTGCCCTCGCTAAACCGACACGAGCTGAAGCCCCCGCGGGCTCCTCCTTGTAACGGCCCACCTTTGCCCTCGGGTGACCAAACGCACGCACAACACGCCCAGCGCCAGGACGTGAACCCGAATGCTGCCGAAGTAGAACATGATGCCTAGGCTGCCCGGCGCAGTCGGGAACCGAAGGCTGCCGGGGTAGAAATTCATGCCGCGAATGCCCCGCGCGGCCGGGAACGGAAAGCTGCTGAGGTAGAACGTGATGCCGCGGCTGCCCCGCACGGTCGGGAACCGAAAGCTGCTGGAGCAGAATATCATGCCACGGCAGCCCCGCGCTGCGGTCGGGGCCCGAACGCTGCTGGGGTAGCACCCGATCCACATAACTCCAAGCGACAGGACGTGGAGCTCGATCCAAAACACTTCCAACGACATTATGTGGTACCCGATCCACTGCCCTCCCAGCGCCGTCGAAACAAAAAAAAACACAGCATGTCCAGCGCCAGGGCAGGGCATGGAACCTGATCCACAGCACTCTAAGTTACAGCCAGTGAACATGATCCACAGCACTCGCAGCGACAAGACGTGGCGCGCGAGCAGCAGCAATCCCAGCGACGTTATCCGGAGCCCGATCGCCGGCACTCACAACAACAGGACGTGGATCCCGATCCACGGCGCTCCCTGCGGTTGCAAGGAAATTAATACTATCCCTAGCGTCGCTGTCAAAAATGGGGCGTGTCTGACACAACGGCGGCGCAACCGACGGAGCCATGGCAAGTGCCAGTCCGGTCGGGGATGGCTTATCCATCTCAGCAGAGCCCCGAAGGCCCCTGACCGAGATCCCCGCGCCTTGGGAACGAACATGGCCGACGAACGACCCGCCGCAGGGGGGCCCCGACCGTTGCCCAAACGCCCGGGCAGAGCGCGCGCGGACCGGTGAACGTTGCGATGCCGATCACGAGCGGGCACTAAAGCGCTGGAGCCCACGACTCGCCGCCGAACTTGTCGATCACGGGTTGCAAGATTCTCTCCGCGCTGCTTCTCTGCGCCATGCCGACCCTGTGGCCAGCCCCCAACAGGGGCGGGCAATCCTGGAGCTCCTTCATCATTGTCATCGGCGCGTCTGTCAGAGAAACTGCGATCTTGGCAGTCCCTGCTTTGTGTGCCGCGCTAACTCGGAAGCCACGTGCTAGTGTGGCCATGTCGCTGGCGTCGGTCACGGCCGCCAGCTTCTTCTGCCGCTGGGGCCCCCGCGCCGCCCGCCGACGGCGCCGGCGCCGCCCCCGGCTGTCTGAATCTCGTCGCGCACCGCGGAGAATATCAGCGCGCGGCGAGGGGGTCGCAGATCTCCTGCGGGCCCCGGTGAACGCTGCCCAGCTTGCAGCCGCGGCCTCCGCGCAAGTCCGGCCCGCCTTCGGCCCTGCGCGCGCAGCGGGGGCGCCCTGGCTCGCCGAACGTCGCGGCGGCTGCGGCCGCGGGCGTCCGCGGCTGGCAAGCGCCCCCAAGGACTGCGAGCGCGAAGATCGGCACGCGGGCGCGGGGCGCGCCCCAGTCCGCGCATCCATTTTCGGACGACGGTCGGCGGCGTCGAGCGCCGGCGCGCGCGGCTCGCCGAGCCCCGCCGCCGGGCCCGGCTGCTACTGGGGCCGAGACGCGTCTCCGACAGCCCCCGCCGCCGTCGGCTGCTCGGGCACGGGCCGCGCTGCACCGACGACGTCGCTGCCCGCGAGGGCGGGGGGCAGCCCGCGACCCCCTGCGGCCGACCCCCCCGTCGCCGCCGCGCCGCGCCGAGGCGCGACCTCTCGGCCGCGACCAGCTCCGCGCTCAGCATGAACATCGGCCGGCTCTCGAACCAGCGCGCGCCGAGAGGAAGGGGGCGGCCGGCACGGGCGAGCAGGCGGCCGCTGGGAGCGCCAGGGCCGGCGAAGGGATCGCCCACTAGAAAACGATAGGCTGGGATATGATTCCCGCGCGGAGACGCCGCCGTCATCGACGCCAGCGGGCGCGACGGGTCCTCGGGAACCCAAACTGGGCGACGGTGGCGGGTTGAACGCGACGGGAAACCGACTCCTCGACATCCCCCTCGCCAGAGACGACTGACAGCAGTAAATGCACTGATTGGCGACGACAGCCGCGCGCATGACGGGCCTCATGAAAGGCCCGCCTGCCGTCGAGAACCGCCGATGAGCCGGCGGGGCCCGTCTCGCCGCGAACTCTCGGCCGCGAGCTCTCGGCCGCGAGCTCGGCCCGTCGAACCCCTCAGCTCGCGTCGCCGCGTCGCCGTCGGCGCAGGGGCCGACGCGCGCTCCAGGGCCGCCCCCCCGGCCCCGGCGCCGCGCGGGCCCGCGAGATGGGGGGGCGCGACAACTGCGCCCGCAGCCTTGAGCACGCACGGGCTAACTCCGAGAGACCGATCACGAGCGCCAGGATCGAGAGAAACAGCGCGCGCATTGAGTCGAATATGGGGGCGGGAAGAATCGAACGCGTGCCACTCCATGAGAAGATCGCGCCCCCCTGCCCCATCCAATTGCCCGATGACGTCGGTCGCGAGTCGCGTCGCGTGAGAATTCGTCTTGACCGAGAGAGCGCCGGTGTCAAAGTCGCCGGGGTCGGATCGAAGCTGGCCGAACGCGTCCCCGCATGCCCGCGGGCGTCGCGCCGGCCATCTAATCCACCTGCGATGAGACCTAAGACGACGAACGCATAGCTCCACTCCGCACGCCGCTGCACCTGCGGGCCCGAGCACCGCCTCATCCGAGCTCGAACGATGTCCTTGCGCCATCTTCGTCCTGAACTGGTTGACCCGTCGGGGCCCAGGACAGAAGCCTCGGCGCGCGCATCGCCTCCGAGGGGCTTCCTAGCGAACCCAGCGAGGACCCTGTCCAGCTGCTTCCCCTGCATCACGGCCCCGAACACCGTCTTCGTAAACCTCCATGCCCCGCGTCTCGCCCAGAGCAGGCCCATGGCGCGGCGCCCTCTTTCAGCGGGCTGAGACCATTCTCCCGGGCCCACCCTGGACGCCCCCATTCGCCGCAGTCTGGGCCCCGAAGAACAAAATAACAAACTGAGCGCATCCTGGGGGGGGAACGAACCGGCCGAAGATCGCCCGCGCATGCGATTCTAGCACAGGCCCGACAAATCATGGAGAAACGTTACTAAAGGGAAATTAGGACACACAAATAAGTACACACAAATAAAAATAGTCCCCATTTTTTCCCACATGTTCTGGGTTTTTGTCTTCCCCCCCACTGCCCATTTTTTCCAATATTTTCTGGGGAATCGAGGATTAATTGTGTCTGTGTGTTTCTTCCCCTCCTGAGTTACTCTCACCAGCTGGTCGTAGCCTCCAGTCTCCCAGTCGCCAGCGCATCGCGAGGCCCCGCCTGGGCCGCCTGCGACGCGCGCGGCGCGCTGCGAGTTGTCGATGTCACGCGCGCCTTGCTCGTGTCGTCGGAGCTAAATGCTGCGCGAGGGCGGCGCAGGGCGCCACGGCCTCCACCTCCTTCCTCCTCCTTCTCCTCCTCCTCCTCCTCCTCCTCCTCCTCCTTTTCCTTCTCCTCCTCCTCCTCCTCCTCCTCCTCTTCCTCCTCCTCCTCCTCCTTCCCCATCTCCTCCTCCCCCGGGCCCGGGCCGTCCACGGGGCCCGGGCCGTCCACGGGGCCTCCGACGGCCACAGATACTGTCCAACATTGTCAGGAGGAACGAGTGGAGCAAGAGGTAGAGAAAGCCATTCGTCGCGCGCGGTCGGGCGCGGTGGAATTGGGACGCCGCGCCGAGAGTGCGCTCGAAGACCGTCGGGCCACGACTGAATCGGCCCCCTGACGCTTCAAGCAAGCGAAAAAACTGCCGCGGCTGCATCGCTCGAAGGCGCCGCGCGAATTCCGAAGAGCAAGACGAAGCCAAGGCGATGGTACATTCAAGTGAGGATGAGTCAAGAATCGCTGAGATCCCGCTGCTCAAGAGCGCGCCGGAACGCTCTGGAACGGACAATCTTCGCCCTATAGCCACGTTCGAACTTTCTGCGCCCAATCTGCTGCCCGGACGGCGCGCGCGATCGACTCGCGTCGATGATGGGGGAACTTGAACGCGTTTCTTTATGTTCGGCGATGACGGGCGTCATGGGGGGGGGGGGTATGACGTGACGCCCCACCCCCGCCTTGTGGTTCTGGCACCACAGCCGCGCCCACGCGCACGACGCCACGAGCGACGAGCGACGAGCGACGACGACGACGACGCGAGCAGCATGTAGGTGGCGATCTGCCCATTGCGCCTGTGTACACCACAGCGCTCGCGTGCACCACACCGCGCGCGTGCACCACAGCGCCTGCGTACACCGCAACACCCGTGTGCAACGCACCGCCCGCGTATACCACAATACTTGGGAGCACTACAGCGCCAGTGTACATACACCGCAGCAACCATATGCAACACAACGCCTGTGTACACCACAGTGCTTGCGTGCACCGCAGCGCCTGTGAACGCCACAGCGCCTGTCTACACCACAGCATCCGCGTGCAACGCAGCGCTGGTGTACACCACAGTGCCTGCGTGCATA